ATAACCTTTTTTGGTCATGGTTCTCTCCAGGGTCACAGAAGGACATATACTAATGTCCTCCAATGACCCAAAACTTAGTATATAGTGGGCTACTTCCCGTTATATGCTAAGAGCGCAGAGCCGCACCACAGCCCGCCCCCTCCGCTCTCTGTTCCTCCAGTCAGCGCTGGACAAATGGAGAGGGGAGGGGGAAATCCCTATGGGGAACGGTGACTGGCAGTCACCACTCTCTGCAGGGAGAGGATCGGGAACTCAGCGATCGGCAGTTTGTGTTCGCCTACTTCCCGATCAATATTGCCGAGCTGTGACAGCTTCAGTGTCACAGGTCAGCTTGAATTATGGGGATGAGTGTATTTCACTCATCCCATAATTCTCCTTTAATCTACATGGCAAGTGTCCAAATAGAACAATACAACAAGACTACAGTTTGTATTCAAAAAAAAAAAGGGCAAGACCAAGCCTTCTGGAACAATGTGCTGTGAACTCATGAATCAAAGATAGAGAGATGTTTGGCCAAGGTTATAGCAGACATGCTAGGTGCAAACCAAATACAGCATTTCAGGGGAAAAACCTCATACCAACTGAGGCAAGGTGGTAAAAATGTCATGGTTTTGGGTTGATTCACTGCTTCAGCGCTTTGGTGGCTTTATAGTCAACAACTTAACAATCTGCATTATATCAAAGTTATTAATGAGAATGTGAGGCCATCTGTCTGAAAGTTGAAACTGAATCGGAAAAAGACACCATTTGAACACCAAAATGATCCAAAGCACACTAACAAATCACCAAGGAATGGTGAAGAAAAAGAGGGTTATGGACTGGCCTAGTCAAAGTCCTGATTTAAATTACAATGAAATGTAATGGGAGGATTTGAAAGTGGCAGTTCATGCATGGAAACCAACAAATACCAAGCAACTGAAGGAATTTTGCATGGAAGAGTGGACAAACATTTCACGAAGTCAATCTAAAAAACTGCTTACAATAAGTCATTTCTGCTAAAGGAGGCAGTGCCAGCTTCTGAATTCAAGGGTGTACTTACAATTTTCACAGTACACCATTCCATCTATTAATCTTTTTGTTATATAAATGATTGAAAGCCACATTTTTGTTGTGTTTTTTTCAAGTGCTGTATATCAGGGCTCAAAATTTCCACTCGCCCGCTTGCAATTGGCGCGTGAAAATTGCGAGTGGAAATTCATCGGCGGCCGGCAGGATGGGGGGTAGGGGGG